TGGGCCCAGCAAACCTTATATGAAGTCCCTGATTCCACTCCTGCCCCAGCCTTTACCTCGATTAAGCAGGGGCTGACGGAGAGCTACGGACATTTTATTGATCGCATGTCCAACGCCCTGTTAACACAATCGGGGATAACGGAGGAAGCTAAACAGACAATGTTTAGAATGCTTGCCTTTGAAAATGCTAATGCAAAAGTGAAGGCTATATTGGCCACCTTACCCAAAGACGCTGATGTGGGAGATATGCTAGAACTTGCCATGCGAGCTGAACAGGGACAACAAAGTAAGATAATGGCTAATGCCATTGCGGCCGCTATTAGACCCACAACCAACTTGTTGGCTGAGGCTGTACAAAAAATAAGTGTACGGCAAAAGAGCAAGGACCAAAAGAGTTCTCCGGTGGTTTGCTATCGGTGTGGTGGTCATGGACATTATAGTAAAACCTGTACCGCCACCGTGTGGTGCGACCGCTGCCAAAAAGAGAACCATGCAACTGCGGTGTGTAATCAGACAAAAAACGGGGCGAGCAGCGCGAAAGAGCCCTGCGCTCGGACACAAGTGGCCGGCCCAATGCTCTCCAACAGCTACAGCCACCCGCCACCAGAGGGAGCCTGGGGATCGATCTGGCAGCAGCAGTAGATGTTACTTTGAAAGACTCCTCAGTCCAGCGTATTCCCACTGGTGTGACTGGGCCCATCTATGAGGAGGGGAGTAACCTTGGCGCCCTCCTCATAGGCGTCCTCCTCATAGGCACAGCTGGCCTCTTTGTGCTACCAGGGGTGATTGACACGGACTATACAGGAGAAATACAGATTGCTGCTTATACCCTATGTCCCCCGCGTACAGTTAAAAAGGGAACACGAGTGGCACAACTGGTGTTATACATGAAGGTTGCTTTGGAAAAGGATGTGACTTCCCGTGCCCCACAAAGAGGAAACCAAGGTTTTGGTTCCACAGGCGATATGGTGGTAAGCCTGGTACAGCAGTTAAAGCAAAGACCAATGATCCAGGTGCAACTTACCTATTGCCTGCAAAAGTGTGAAGTCAAATTTATGACTGATACAGGGACGGATGTCACTATAATTAGCAGAAGGATATGGCCTAAACAATGGCCGCTGGCCCCAGCCCTGGATGCAGTTCAGGGAGTTGGTGGCAGCCAACGACCATTGCAGAGCCGAGAGCCAGTGCAACTCAGACTACCAGAAGGACAGTCTGTTGCTTTGCGACCATAGGTGATGCCACTGCCTGGGGACTTGGAAGGCTTGTTAGGTCGAGACGTCCTAGCCCAGGTGGGGGCCATCATCACCATTCCCAGCTCCCAGAATTTTGCCTAGTGGCCACTGCTATGGAGCCGCCTACCCCAGCCATCTCTTGGAAAACTGATGGGTGGAGCAGTGGCCGCTGACCAAGGAACGGCTCCAGATTGCTCATCAACTTGTTCAAGAACAACTACAAGCCAAACATATTAAACCCTCCATCAGCCTGTGGAACACATCCATTTTTGTCATCCCCAAGAAAAGTGGCAAATGGCGACTGCTCCATGACCTACGTAAAGTCAACGACCAAATGTGGCCCATGGGAGTGCTGCAATCAGGTATGCCATTGCCCACCATATTGCCACGAGATTGGCATGTCCTGGTGATTGATTTAAAAGACTGCTTTTTTACAATACCCTTACAATCTCAAGACACAGTGCGCTTTGCTTTTACTCTCCCGTCCACAAATAAGGCGAGCCCAGCCCAGAGATATGAGTGGGTGGTGCTCCCTCAGGGCATGAAAAACTCCCCCACAATGTGTCAATTGTATGTTGCATGGGCACTAGCACCTTTACGGACTGAAATGCCTGATACTATTATTTACCATTATATTGATGACATTTTGTTTGCTCAGAAACAGCCCTTTACAGATCAAACTTTGCAAAAGGTGACTGCTGTGTTAGGCACGAAAGGACTTGTAGTGGCACCGGAAAAGGTCCAACAGACTGAACTGTGGAAATACTTAGGTTGGACCTTATCCCGGGCCTCAGTGTCCCCTCAGAAGGCAACGCTACATCGGGACATAAAAACGCTGAATGACGCTCAGCGACTTGTAGGAGAACTGCAATAGCTTCAGCTTTTGGTGGGGTTTACTAACCAGGACTTACAACCTCTCCTTGCCCTGCTGCGCGGTAGTGACCCTGCAGCCTTGGTGCCATGGTCTACGGCGCATGAGCGACACCTTGATCAGTTGAGTATAAAGATCACCACAGCAGTGGTCGATCGAGCTTTGCCAGACATCCCTGTATCTGTACTTATTTGCAATTTGAAAAAATCGCCTTTTGCTTTGCTGCTACAAGTCCCTGCTTGGCAAAAAGAAAAACGGGGAGAAGTCAATACATTACCCTTAAGTGCCAAGCAGGCTTCAGGACGACAGAGGGAGGAGCAGCCACAGTGCACGGTTTTAGAATGGCTGTTTCCACCTCATACCGCTCCAAAAAGTATTTGCCAACAAACAGAAGTGATTTGTAAGTTGCTCAGAAAAGGCCGGACGAGGTGTAAGGACGTCAGTGGCCAGGAGCCAGCACGCATTAGCCTCCAGATGAATGGAGACGCATTGGAATGGATGCTGGCCAACTCGGAGGAGTTGCAGCTTGCCCTTTTAGGATACCCGGGACGCATCATCAATATGACGCCTGATCACCTGCTATTGCGTTTTGTTGCAGGGAATGAATGGTGACCGCGGTGCTCAGTGGTGTCCCAACCTCTCACACAGGCCTGGACTGTCTTTACAGATGCGGGCAGGAAGTCCCTATCAGCGGTCTGCATGTGGAGAAATGAAGATCAATGGCTTCATCACAAGATCAAGGGCATGGATGCGAAGAATTCAAAGGAATGTGCTGTATGAATTTGTCTGACCACTCTGAATCCATCCACAAGAAATTAGCTGAGCTGAAAAATAATTTGCATAACTTGAAAGAATCAGACGACCCTCTTGGGGACTGGTTCAGCCAGTTTGGTATATCAGGGTGACTACGAGTATTGGTTGAAAAAGGTTTGACCCTTGTAGCAATAATTGTAGTAGTTTGCATAGTGTTTGGCTGCTTGTTGTCATGTGCTAAGAAAGTAATGTCGCACTTAATAGAACAGGTCTGGATAAAGTAATGTCGCGCTTAATAGAACAGGTCTGGATTGTCCAAATAGAAAAAGCTGGCACCCCAGATGGAACATCGCTTGTGAATCTCGACAGATCCGCGGGATCATGGGATCTCCAGCCAGCACCGAGGAATTCTTGGGGAGAGCCTCTGATCCCCGGACCGAAAGATTATAAGCAGGTCCCCTGGAAAGGTAATAAGGTACAACAACCCTGGATTGTCCAAAAAGAAAAAGGGGGAATTGTAGAGGGGTTTCTTGAACAACAGGGCCACAAAGTATTATGGGAATATGTGGACAATCCAGGGTTTGTAAACAGCGTGTCCTTGGTACACTGAAACAAGCAAGAAGCTATGAGCTAAGGCAAAAATGTGCTGACCGCAAGTAGAAACTAAGATAGCTGCGTACTTTGTTTTATATATCCAATCACTACTTGAGAATAAGCGCGTGGACAGTAGAGCTTAAACCAACAAAAAGTATTACAGGTGCCGTCACTGTCTGAGGAGAAGCGCGTGGACAGTGTGTTAAGACCAATGAAATTACCGCTTGTGCCGCGTGAACCCTGCTTGTACTATAAGTATACCTGTACTTGGGAATAAAAGAAGTAGCATTCACTATACTCCTATGGAGACCGTGTCTGCTTTCCGGAGTTCCCCTCTTCCCTGGTAGTCCTATCGATCTGGTCGCCCTGTTCAACACTCCAAAAATCAATTCTGCTCCATTTCCAAACTTTACCTCACTCTTCTACACAGGTTTCACTTACACAAATGAAAAATTCGTAAGGAGAAAATAAAAACTATGATTTGTTCTACTCAGTGCGATGCATCCCCATATTCATCCCACCATAACATCCAGTACTTCTGAAAACTTGGCACGTATTACTACTGAAATCCAGCCTTACACACTGTATGATACGTTCAACGTCTTTTGGAAAAGAAAGAGACAACATCTCTTGGAAAAGAAAGAGACTAGCGCAAGCACACATTGTTACAGGAAGTGCACTTACCCTTTGTAATTCTTCATCCTGCTCCAAACGGTACATGAAATCACTTTTCAGATCCATGCTTATTTGCTCTGGAGTGAGCTGTAAAGACAAGACATTTTTCAGAGGCTTTTTGACCCCTCTGCTTATGTGCACCATAATTTCAACATAAAATCAGTCACAACTTAATGATTCCAAATATCAGTAAAGGATTATTTCCTACATAACTCCCTGAAACCAGTTACGCCTATGAGCTATTCTGTTTCATTCATGCCAGTGAGTTATAATTAGCCATCCTCAAAGAAGTTTCTCAGAAATATCCAGTATACTGAAAAAGAATGATTGTTTAAATTTAAATACTTTAACTACTTGAGAAACACACTCTATTCAGCCATAAGCCAATGAGATAGATACTCAGATGATCATTCAGACAGGAGTTTTTAATGTATGGAATAAGATAATGTAAGCACATAACCACCCCACAGAACAGTAGCTGAAAAGGGAAAAGTGAGCAGAGGGAAATTCATCAGGCAACTCTTGTATTTCAACTAAGAAAGAATTCTAAAGAAATTCAAATTTCTTACCAAAGGGCTAATTGGTTTTACTGAAAGTAAGTTTGCTACACCACAACTAGCACATAGAAATCCCAATGAGATTTGAAGCCAGCTCAATTTGCAATGTACATAAATATATTATGTGTTTTAAGCAGCACTCAAATTTTCATCAGTTCCATATTTTCTAAATCAATATATAATGATCAATGTTAAATTAATGTCATTTATGGAAAAAAACTGTAGTCAAAAGAAGTCTTATATATTATTTTGGCCATAAGTATTCTGGTTCCCTGCTGTAGGAAACTGAAGTTCCTGCCCTGAGAGTCTCTTCTGACCAGGTTATATCCATGGCTAAATTATGCCTCTGAACTCAGCAACCTAGTATTTCTTCCCTTCTTCCTCATTTTATCATGCCACATTGCTGCTTTTCATTTGTTCTGTGGTGAATGGGACTAGAAATGACAGAAAAAGGAAGCAGGCTGATTGTGACACTGGAGCCATTTCTCCTCCCAGAAAAGAAAGTCCTAGCATGGAAATATGGGAGAGAGAGGCTAGTGAATTATAAATGACATGCCCTTATGCTTACCTTGCAATTTCAATCAGAACTTTGTATGGGCTGCACAATAGCAGGCAAAAAGTGAAATAAAGCGAAGAATTGGGACACCCAAAACACTGCTGCTCAAGAACCTAATATAACATGAAGTAAATACAAAGAACTCCTACCAATGAAAAGACTCCCTTCCTCCAGGTCAAGAAGGGAAGAAATTTTATCAGTGGACTGTTTTCTCCTTTGGAATAGCTCATACTTTAAATCCTGGGGGAAAAAAGCATTTAAAAGTTCCAGAAGCATGGGGAAAACAAACAACAAATCAATTGTTTAAGCTATCTTACATTTGCCAGAGGACCCTCATCAATATTGCAGCTGGTCCAAGGGTTCCAGTTGGAATAAGGTGGTGACCATGGAACAACTCCTGTATGACTTTGTCTCTGCGATGGTTCAAAATGGGCCAACTTTCCAACATTAATCAGGACTGGATTACCAGGATCTTCAGGCTATAAATCCAAAAGCAAAGTGGGCAAAGAAAGATAAAAGTATTAAACAAGCAGGCCTGATGTTAAATACTGGAGCATCTGAAGCACACACTCACCAAAGGCACAATCTCCAGAGACAGTTCCCGTACAACATTTTGCAGCCGATTTTCTAATTCAGAAGACAGCGACACCTCAAAGGGCTCCACCTATTAAATGTTTAAAAACTAGATGTTGATATGCACAAAAAGATAAGACAATGGAAGCCAGAACTGCAGGCTACCAGAGAGTATACCGAACCATCAAATTTTGGATTTGTTTCACCTTAGTAGCATCAGTTCAAAATTCACATTCTTGAAAAATTTTGCCAACTTTTCATCCAACAAGAATCTGTAGAATATTTTTAAATATCTTGAATTTAATTTCAAAAGAAAACATTCCCAAACTTGTAACCAAAAAAAACCACTAATGTGCCAGAGAATGAAATGAAATAGCCAAGAATTGTACATAGCGTAAACATAAATCTTTAAGCTTCTAGAAAATTTATACTGAAAAAAGCATTTGTTACAAATCCTACTTCACTTAATACGCTGTAAAACCAGCTTACTGCTCCATTCATATACACAGAAAGTTCTGTTTCTGATACAAATCACTGGCGAGACCAGAAACAGCTGCTGGTCTAAAGAACCAAAATTACTATTAACTCGTAAGCTGTTAAGTATTGAGAACAAACTCATCTTTATAAGAGAGTGCTTGTGTGTTATTAAAATGAAAGCAACAATTTCTGGCCCTTCTACCAAACTCACCGATTCTCCTTCTTTTTTCTTCGTCTGTCCAGAATAAGGTTCTATGACACCAAGATGGTAGAGCTGTCTAACCAAGGAAAGGGCACAGGACTGTGCTGCCAGCTTTTTGTTTGATCCATGCTCACGACTGAAAATCCCTGCGGCACACAAAGTTCAGAGCTGTAGTAGCTGATGAGTCAAACCGCTTCCACAGAAGATAGATACTACTCTGAAATGGGTTTTGTGTTTGTTCACACAGGCCAGGTTTCAGGGGAAGAGTCTCAAATCTTGATAAATCCAGAGTTCCATCATAAAATCCAGCCAGGGCCCTTCACCAGCTGACTCACACTAGCTGTGTAATGTTACTTACAGACTTCCTGGGAAGTTTTTTCTGCACTCAGTGCTAAGGAAGTATGATTATCCTATACCACCCAGCAACATCATACAAATTTCACAGCAAGCTCTGCATAAATGTGTATGGTATGGACAGCACACCCATTGCCTGGCAACATATTAGACACCTGCATTTCTCAGATATGTGAAGAACAAGTAATAAAGACAAACAAAACCTACCACATCTCATAAGCATTTCTTTGTGCTAAGAAAAAAGATTAGTGGGAGCATGTAATGGACAAGTGGTAGAATGCAACAAGCACAGCACACAGAAACGATTTCACATCAGGAAACAAACATGAACCTCTGGAAGTGGCTCCCAACACATAACTATAGAAGTCTGTACCCACAAGTATGACCTATTCTCCTCTTTGCCAACAGCTAACTCTTGCTAAGGTAATAAAATGAATAGGAGCACTTACTTCTGCCCAGCTGCTTCACATAAATGTTCATTTCTGCAATAAAGCTCCTGTAAGAGAAAGAGCGAGCACAAAGGTACAATTACCAATAGCTGACACTGACACTGCAAAAACAGTTACTCTCTCCAATTTTTCTAGGCAAAGATCTCTGTGTCCTGAGTCACAGACTCTCAACTTATCAATGGCCAAGGTAAAA